GGAAATTCTTAGTTTAAAGACTAATTTATGTTAAGCATGCGAAGAAGCGGCCCTAAGTATCCCGGCCAGCAAAAAATTCAAGTTTTTGTATGTATAACTTAGACCGCAAGAAAGTAAGATGTGTACAGTGTTTGTACGTTGCTTAGCGCGATCGGACTGTGGTGCAGCGCTAGAGCGTTAGACTCCAACTCGAGAGGCCGTGGGTTCGAACCCTCGTAGAGACCCCAAATGTTTTTCTCAAGTAAGTTGTTTTTTCTCCTTATATATATCTCCTTAATTCGATTACAAAGATGATTTTTCAGTTATAACCTGCGGTTATACAAGTCTGCTGCCTCCTGCCCCCAACGGCATCGTCCGGTATAGCGAAAATTCAACAAACAAAGTATCTGAAACGATGTTCGTGTGTGTGTGTTGAGTCCAGTTCCCAGGAAATATCAACAACCCCCCCCCCACCATTGAAAAAGTAATAGATTTTTTTTGCTTTTATTTGGTTTTATTTTTATGCCGATTCGCCCTAGATTTGTTGCCTAGTCGCCATTGACCCCCGTTTTAGGGCGATTTTCCTTGTTTTTAGGGCGATTTTACCGTAAAATTTCTATGACTATAGTCATGTCCGTCTGTCTGTCCGTATGAACGCTAAGATTTCGGAAACTACAAACGCTAGAAGGTTGAGATTTTCCACACAAGCTTTTGGGCTTTTTACGCAACGCAAGTTTACTTCAGCCGAGCGCCACGCCCCTCTAACGACAATAATCGGCCACAAACGATTTTAAAATGTGTCTGCGTCCACACCTTTAAAGATTTCCGAGAAGTATAAATGCAATTTTGTTGGTGTGTAGCCCGAAGCTTCGCCTGCGGAAATTAAAACTGAAAATTATGCGTACCTTTATATTTTCTACTTATTTTAAATTTACAAATTCCTTATTTTTAGCCTATAGCCGAGAAAAGATTTTATCATAACTTTTTTCTTATTTTCCGCAAAAACAACAGTATATTGTCCTATGCAGGCTACTTAAAATATATAAAAAAAAACTTGCTAAAAAATTTCTAAAATTCTTATTGCTTGCGTAAGTTATCAGCTGCACAGAACAGAAACAAATTAATTTTTCGACACACATCCTTACACTAATTTTCTTCACAGCATTAGTACTTTGTCCAAAACATATTGTTTAAATATAGAATGTCATACTGGATTGAGCATGTAACTAAATTTTAAATCGATAAGCGTGTAAATCTAGAAAATAAGCTTGTTTTCTTAAAAAATACACCAAAACAATGCTTAAACATACATCTTTCTCTAAAAGATAGCTCTCCAAAAACCAATATGATTATTTTGGCTAAGATTTATGAAGTTAAAGGAAATATTTTTGTTTAGGTAACGAAAAGGTAAATAAAAAGGCAATACACTGTGCGATTTAGCTAATATGGGGGTTTCTAGAAGGTATCCAATGTAGACAACTCTTATAAGGGAAACCAATATTTATGCGAAGCAATGTTTTGCTTTATATATTCAACTAATTTAAGAAAAGACATCAAGAAAGGCAATTCCATATTACTGCATTTTACCATTGATATTTTGTTTCAGTATTTTTGTTTTCACATTAATTTTTTACCTTGATTAGAATTATATTAATAATACGGAAGGCAGGTGGGCGGGGAAGCCGTGAATCAAATTGTTTAAACATTTGAATTTGTTTAAACAATATGAGGCACGGCACGTGTAATAAAGAGCAAGAGAATCAATTGGTTTGAATATTTAATGTTCTTTTAATATTATCAATGCGATTTGAATTTTAGTTCACAAAAATCGGTTACAAAATGTCTTATGTTGTGGAAATGTAAATGAAATATTCTTTTAGCAAAAGGATATCAGTTTATCTTGAATTTGAATTTGATCGAATCTCAATTCCTTAGTTAGCTGCAATGCACACACACAAACGTACACACGCATATATGTATCTAATGGCTGTGTGTGTAAAATACGCATTTTTTTGATATATTTATTTTTTGCGTGTGTGTGTACATAGCAGAGCAAATCATTAGGGGGATTCCCTAAACTGTTGAATTGCTGAATTTTTGAACTTTGGTCAACTGTTAATCAGCTGTTCCATACAAAGTCAACTTTCAGAAATTTCAGCAATTCAACAGTCTCGGGGCTGTTGAAAATTTTATTGAATTGCTGAAAAGCCAGAGTTGCCACCTTTATTTAAAAGTCGTGGCAATAATAAATCAAATTTTACATGCAAGTTCCGTGAAACTTTTCAACAAATAACAGTTGTTTGAAAATTCAACAGGCACCAATTTGGGGCGTTCCTTTAATTGCTGAAATTTTTTGTTGCATTTTCAACAATTCAGCAATTCAACAGTTTAGGGAATCCCCCTATTGTTTGTTTTTGTTTTTTACAAATCCAAAGTTTGTCGATAACTCAACATTTGAAAACTAATAAATAGTTTGCTGATCGGGCTTTTGCATTTTAAAAAACAAAAGCAATTTTAAGGAAAATTTTGACTGTAAAATTCAGCTTAATGGGATTTCTGTAAGGTCTATCGATATTTTAAAATTTAACGTTTAAAGCCTAGTACTCAGTACGACGAAAACTGCTAGCTAAGCATAGGAGTAAGCGAGAGGCAAATAGGTTGCTAAAGCCTTTAGCCGGGGACTTTTTTCACCGCGGTACTCAGTTGAGCTAAGGAAATGGTAAGGAAATACCAAAAAAATACTAGATTTAGCGGATGAATTCCGATGAACGCCTTTAGCCGCGGCCCAAAGAATAAAAAATTTGATCTTTGGCTGTGTTTGTGCAGAAGCGGTGTGCCAATAACAATTTATAAATGGAAGGAAAACCACAAAAACCAATGGAAAACTGCCTGTAGGAGTTGCTGCAATACATATCGCCATTCCAACAGGGAATTTAAAGCTTGCGACCCAGGTCGGCTCAACGTTTTGTAATATTTTAAAATTGGCGCCAGTTGATTTGTTTGCTGAGAGTAAGACCATGCTACATGCATTGCGGATGAACTCCGAAAACTTCGGTCACACTAAATGATTAATATTTTTCGACTAGTGAAACTCTTAGCCGAACTGAGCACTAGGCTTAAGCCTAGTACTCAGTACGACGAAAACTGCTAGCTAAGCATAGGAGTAAGCGAGAGGCAAATAGGTAGCTAAAGCCCTTAGCCGGGGACTTTTTCCCACCTCGGTACTCAGTTGAGCTAAGGAAATAGTAAGAAAATACCACTAAAATACTAGATTTAGCGGATGAATTCCGATGAACGCCTTTAGCCGCGGCCCAAAGAATAAAAAATTTGATCTTTGGCTGTGTTTGTGCAGAAGCGGTGTGCCAATAACAATTTATAAATGGATAGAAAACCACAAAAATCAATGGAAAACTGCCTGTAGGAGTTGCTGCAATACATATCGCCTCTTCAACAGGGAATTTAAAGCTTGCGACCCAGGTAGGCTCAACGTTCTGTAATATTTTAAAATTGGCGCCAGTTGATTTGTTTGCTGAGAGTAAGACCATGCTACATGCATTGCGGATGAAATCCGAAAACTTCGGTCACACTAAAAGATTAATATTTTTCGACTAGTAAAACTCTTAGCCGAACTGAGTACTGGGCTTTATTCTTTGGTCGGCGGCTAAAGGCGTTCAGCCTAGTACTCAGTTCGGCTAAGAGTTTTACTAGTCGAAAAATATTAATATTTTAGGGTGACCGAAGTTTTCGGAGTTCATCCGCAATGCATATAGAATGGTCTTACTCTCAGCAAGCAAATTAACTGGCGCCAATTTTGAAATATTACAAAATGATTAGCCGACCTAGGTCGCAAGCTTTAAATTTGCTGTTGGAATGAGGATATGTATTGCTGCAACTCCTACAGGCAGTTTTCCATTGGTTTTTGGGGTTTTCATTCTATTTATAATATGTTATTGGCACACCGCTTCTGCACAAACACAGCCAAAGATCAAATTTTTTATTCTTTGGGCCGCGGCTAAAGGCGTTCATCAGAATTCATCCGCTAAATCTAGTATTTTAGTGGTATTTTCTTACTATTTCCTTAGCTCAACTGAGTACCGAGGTGGGAAAAAGTCCCCGGCTAAGGGCTTTAGCTACCTATTTGCCTCTCGCTTACTCCTATGCTTAGCTAGCAGTTTTCGTCGTACTGAGTACTAGGCTTTCATCGGAACTCATCCGCTAAATCTAGTATTTATTTGGTATTTTCTTACTATTTCCTTAGCTCAACTGAGTACCGAGGGGGGAAAAGTCCCCGGCTAAAGGCGTTAGCTACCTATTTGCCTCTCGCTTACTCCTATGCTTAGCTAGCAGTTTTCGTCGTACTGAGTACTAGGCTTTACTTAAGAAAAAGGCGCAAAAGAAAAGATTTGCGATATAATCGATTTTTTAACCGCGAAGTTTAAACGTATTATGAGTGTGGTAGTTTCGTTTTAAAATTGTTGGCTGTGTTATTTTCATTTTCCCCTTGCGCGGTCACACTTAAATTGCGACAGCAGGACATACATATGTAAATACATACATGCGCCAGCAGAACATACATACAAACATATGGGGAGGCGTGACGTCACATCAGGTTAGCCAAATTTGAAAATATTGGGGACTTGGTTAAGGATGCTGAATCTCCAAGAAATTTTAATGCAGTTATTTGCGGGTATGCCATAAGATTATGAACATCACATTTTTAAACCATTTTAGCAACATTTATAACAGAGAAATGGCAAAAGAAAAAATTAAAAAAAAAACAAATCGATTTTTGGGGCACTTTGGGGTTGTTTTTTGTTTTAGGGCTAGTACTCAACCTAACAAAATTTGGCCCAAAAAAATATACTACTTTCAGACAATTATTTCTTGAGGGTCCGGTGTTGAATAATGTGGTATTACCCGCGTTTAAATATACGGTCACATTAGCTTGAACAAAAACAAAAAATTCTAAAAAACTAATAAAATGCTGTAATAGCTACTGTTGTTACAGCATTAGTTATCAAGGACAAAGACCATTTTAAGCGACCTAGATCTTGTTGGGTTAATTCTTATTTGGCCGAACGTCTCAAGAAAGGACGATTTACAACAGATGTAAGATTTGCAAAAAACAAAATAGACTACATTATAAATATCTTATTTCACAGTTTGAAGATTTAACACAAAACCCGTTGCTCTTTTTTGAAAACTTTCATATGAGTTTGGTCCATTTCAAAGAATTGTATAAGAAGTTGGAGCCAATTCTTATTCCAAAAATGTTTTCTCGTTCTGACTCTATTCGCTCCCACGAAAAATTGGCCTTAGTACTTGAGTAAGTTGTCCCGCAAATCGCTAGAACTATTCATTAAACATTCAACCTAGGTATCTAGCTTCGGGTTCTATTCAACGTCATATTGCTTCTTCTTATCGAATAAGCAAGCAACGCGTAGGTTCGTTGATAGATTTGGTGTGCACTGAAATATGCAAGAAACTTCAAAATGAAGTACCCCCCTGGACCAAGGAAACAATGCTAAAAAATGCAGAGGATTTTGAAAATGTGTGGAATTTTCCTAACTGTGTAGGAGCGATTGACGGGAAACATGTTCCCATTATGGCCCACCTCAAAGTGGCAGTGTATTCTTTAACTATAAGGTAGTTTTAATTACCTGAACATATCTTATTGGTATTAACTAACTGTTTTCTTCTTGTTTCTTCTTGCTGTTAGTGACGCTAAATACACTCATAGAAATTTTTACCCTAAATCGCCCTAAAAAACTGACTTTTCGCCCGTGGATTTAGAAAATCGCCCATAAATCGTATCCGCTGGCGATTCGCCCGTGTATTTAGAAAAATTTTCTTAAAAATCCCTATGGAAATTTGGTTTAATTTAGGGTGATTTTTCTTGAATTGAGAAATATTTTCCTATTTTTAGGGTGATTTGCCCTAAGTTTAAGTCGTGTTTTTCTAAAAGTAAGGGCGAACTTTCTGTTTTTAAAGACAAATGCCCTAAAAAATTATGCAAATTAAAAAAAATCGTGTTTGAGCATGCTTAACTGAATTTGGGAAGCATGAATTTTAGTCGTGTATATTCTGGGAACTGGGACTGCTTTAATTAAACAACACCGGCGGAGGACACCGTTGCATATTATTGTATTGGTGTGTAGCTTATATGGGAGCTGCGTTAAGAGGGGGGCCCGATCTATACAACACAGCCGTTAGAACTGAAAAATCATGTTTGTAAACGAATTAGGGAAATAAATATGAGGAGAAAAAAACAACTTACTTTTTTGGTCACTCCGAGAATCGAACCCACGACCTCTCGGTTCAGAGTCTAACGTCCTACCGCTGCACCAGAGACCCATCGCGCAAGACAACGAACAAACTCTGCAGACATCTTATTTTCTTGAGGTCTACGTTATAATTTGACTAAAGGCAACTAAACCGTATATTTTTTTTCCTGACGACTGTGACAATTAGTCCCGTTTTCTTGCCAGAAAACACAAAGTATGCTTTTAACTCAGAACTCCCATACGTTTTTAAGGTTTAAAGACTACTTTAATTTAAAATTCGGACGAAAAAATGTCCTTAGTATTATAACGTTTACAAAAAAAAAAAACATAAAAATAAAGTTGAATCACACAGGGTTCGAACCCACAACCCCACGACCTTAGTCCTCATATAGCAAAGTTGAAAGCGCAAGTGATTAGACCGCTGGGCTACCGAATTTCACACTTTTGGAGTGATTTTTAAGGCGAATCGCCCTTGTATTTAGACAAATTTTAGAAAAAAAAATTAGGGCAATTCGCCGTTGGATTTAGAAAAGGTCAAAACGAAGCAAATCGAAAAAATCGCCCTAATTATTAGAAAAATAGAAAAATTAACCCTAAAAATATTTTTTTATGGTCACCTGCCTTGAATTTATGGCAAATTTGTCGTGAAAATAGAAAATTTTTCTTAGTTCAAGGGCGAAAATTTTTTTAGGGCGATTTTCTAAAATGTAGAAAATTATTTTTATGAGTGTACAGGTTCACTTATTTGGATATTGGAGCGTATGGAAGTGAAGGAGATATGAACGCATTTTCTCATTGTAAGCTTGGCAAAGCCATCCTTCTGGTCCAGTTGGACTTTCCAGATGACAAGCAACTAAATGAAGTTATGGTGCCATATTACTTGGTGGCAGATGATGCATTACCTTTGTCGAAGCGCATTATGAAGCCGTATAGCTTGAAAAACTTAACTAAAGCAGAGTTAGCTTTCAATTATCGGCTTAGCCGAGCGCGAAGAGTTGTCGAATGTGCATTTGGCATACTAAGCCATAAGTGGATGGCCGTGCACAGAACTTTTTTGTGCCATCCAGATAGAGCTAAAAAAATTGTCGCTGCCTGTTGCTTACTCCACAATTATGTCCTTAGAAGATGCCCATACAGAACTTAATTAATTCTTTGCCTGCTGAATTTACTCAATTTCGTGGCAGAGTACAGGAAGAATCCTTAATATGTAAGAAATAGCGTAAAGAACTATGTCAACATTCCACAAGGATTATGTCCTTGGCAAAATAAATAAGCCTAAGTAACCTAAGTCCAAGTTATTAAAAATAATCTTTTGGAATTTTTGTTTTAATTTTAATTTTTTTTTATTTTTTTTAAATTTTATTAATTTAATCCTTGCTTAAAGCTTTCAGCGATTCCTCGTGAATCAGATTGCCAACCTTAATAACGGTTGGCTATGGCATGTTTTTCAAAAGGCTGTCCCATTAGCCAAGCGCGGATGCGAATGGTGAAACTTCCTTCTGATTTTGATGGTTGATATGGGTATCAATAGTTTCTTTAGATTCCTTTAGATATTCGCCAAGCATCTTCACTAGAGCCATATTTTCATTGCTCTTTGGCTTTCCCTTGCCTGGTGTCGCCTTTTGTTTCTAAAAATAGATGGGGGGTTAAAAAAGTCGGATAATTTTAAAATATTACTCACATAGTCATAGCTGCTTTTCGGCGTTGATCCCTTACATCTTGAAATTTCATCGTCGAGGAAGTCAATGGACTCGTCGTCTTCAGTGAAATCGGTGTTGTATGTTCTAAAAAAATCGTATATCATATGTTGTGTGTATTTCATATATAGGATAAAGGACTTACGTTCTTTTTGTGGAGAAGTCGGGCAAGAAAGACATGCGGTCGCCAAACTCCCACTGCACCTTTGGTTGGGACTCCAAAGCGTCCCCGCCATCTGCACCACTTTTTCGGAATCGTAGGGAAGCCTGCTTGCGATGGTACCTATAGTTCTCTCGGAGAGAGGTCCACGCATCCTTGCATTCAGTAACTTGTTAAAATAATAATGTTAGAAATTTATCCGTGCTTATTGATGATAACTTACCAGTTTTTTCTAAAGTTCCGCCATTAAATTCTGCCTAGCGCCAGTGAGGTCCCAAATTGAGCCATGGTTTTTCACGCAATAGATGAGCAAGTTTTTTTTTTTTTTTTTTTTTTTTTATTCGCGCGGAGTCTTACGGCCACACCTCCCGCCCAACCGACCGAGGGGCGCTGCCGTGTATCGTACGGCACGATTCGCGAGATGATAGACGCGATGTAGAAAATAAAAATATAGTTCGAGGAAAAAAAAGTAGGATCTAAATCTGTGCTAGGAAATTTAATATTAATCGTTTTAGGAGAGGCAGAGAGGCAGAATTTGATATAATAGGATAAAGTCTATTATAATCAGAACATAGTACTCTGAAAGGTTCATGCATGTCATAGTTAGATCTACAGTGGTTTAAAATTAAGGGAATGGAACAAAAAAGTTAAGTCGTCCAACCAAGTCGGGGCTATCAATTTCACCTCGAATAAGGTTATAAATGAAGACAGTTCCAAGCATCGTTCTACGGTTGGTTAGGGAGGATAAGTTAATTAGGAGTAATCTACTAGAATAAGAAGGTAAAATGCGGTTTGCATCCCAGTTTAGGCGCCTCAAGGCAAAAAGTATAAAGTTATTTTGTACGGATTCGATACGGTCAATATGAATTCCGTATTGGGGACTCCAGACGGGTGATCCATACTCAAGTATCGGCCGGACGAGCGAGATGAATAAGGTCTTAGTAATATAAGGATCATCAAATTCCTTAGACCACCTTTTAATAAAGCCAAGCGCACCCCTAGCTTTATTTACCATGGATGAAATGTGATCAGTGAACTTTAGTCTTGGGTCCAAAAGAACACCAAGATCATTGACTAGGTCTAATCTGTCCAGAGTGCTCTCACTCAGCGTGTAAATCGCATATTGAGGAGTAACACGACAAAAAGTCATCACCTTACACTTAGAGCCATTTAAATTCAGCGAATTGTCGGAGCACCATGTTTGGAAACTATTTAAATCGGATTGTAAATCAGACTGGCAAAAAGTATCCTTGTACTGCAGGCATAATTTCACATCATCAGCGTACATAAGTACACGAGAATGACTTATAACTGATGGAAGGTCGTTTATAAATAAACAAAAAGTAGTGGCCCCAAGTGGCTCCCTTCTGGGACACCCGAGGTAACCTGGAGTGTACAAGAAAGAGAATTTTTAAAAAGATCCATCTCAAAAGATCAACTGGGAACCCAATTAAATCGAGTTTTCTAACCAGAAGTAGGTGGTTTACGGAGTCAAATGCTTTACTAAAGTCAGTGTAGATGACGTCTGTTTGAAAATGGTTTTTGAATCCCTTTATCACAAATGAAGTGAGCTCTAAAAGGTTAGTAATTGTTGATCTACGTTTCATAAAACCATGTTGACATGGAGATATAACTGACCTACATAGGTGCTGCAAATTAGGTGTAATAATATTGGCATAATGGCATAATTGGCATAATGCCGACGTCTTGGACTTCTTGAAGTCTAAGCCGGCATGACCTCGAGTTTGCTAAAAACTTCTCTATAACGAAAAAAGGTCGTATCAAAAAAGCCAAACTTTGGACAAAAAACGGTCAACACGCCGTAAAAGGCTGCTATATGGAAGCCTAAAAATATGCAGTAATGCATATTCTTCACAATCTGCCACGGAACTCTGATAGAGATCAAAGACAGAACAAAGTCCAACACACACTAAGGGCTTGATCAGCTTTTCGAAGTTTACCGATCTGGCGACGCTATAATTCCCAACCAGTTATAGCGCGGCTTACATGGTAACCCACTTCGATCGTTGACTAAGACAGCGATTTCACTGCTGATGATTGTAGTTGGCTACTACATGAAACATGCATGTACAGTGAAGCCTCTTCGCTCCTTTTTGTGTGTTGGCATAATGCCGACGTCTTGGACTTCTTGAAGTCTAAGCCGGCATGACCTCGAGTTTGCTAAAAACTTCTGTGTAATAATATTTTCAAAAAGCTTCGGGATAGCTGACAATTTAGATATACCTCTATAATTGTTTGCTTCCAATTTTTCACCTTTCTTGTGGCGGGGAATCACAAACGATTCTTTCCACATAGAAGGAAATTGAGACGTTTCCAAAGACAAGGTAAACAATTTGAGAAGGGATTTGCAAAGGGCTTCTGCGCAATATCTAAGCACGCAGCCGGGAATTCCATCAGGACCAGGTGAATAGACGGGCTTGACTTTTTGGAGATCAATTAATAGG